AAGTTCAAGAATAAGGTCTCACAAAAGGGTGATTTGGTTCACACTATCGCACAGATATTGAAACGTTTGAATCCAGAGAAGCAGACCATCAAAAATAAGCTCTATTTTTCATTGAAACCCATTTAACCACAATATGTATAATAATTGTTTATTTGATGTTTAAAACATTGTTTTTGTGTAATCTTTTTGTTTTTGAATCTTAGAATTCTTAACTTTATTTTAATTATACATTCCTTACAATTAAAACATTGAAATTATTGATTAAAATTATGTAAATATTTGCAATAAAAAGCATACAATTTTATACATGTTTTGTCGATTTTGTTGTTTTGATAACTTTATGAATAATCCTTTTGATCTTTTTGAGTTTGGGTTTGGGTTTGGCTGCGGTTTTGGGTTTGTTTTTCTCTTTGTTGGCCTTCTTTTCGTCTTTGAAAACCACGAATTGTTGGTCCGAAAGGTATTGTGTGTGAAAAAGAGGCTTTTCTGTGGCCTCGTGTGCGCTCAGCATCTCTGTGCGATTGCATTGAGCCGAACAGTTATGCCATTCGTCGTCCATAAATATAAGTGTAGGTCCGAGTCCTCCGTCCATACATTTTCTAGACATACACCGCAAATATTCTTGCATTTTGTCGCGCGCTTTGCCCTTCCGTTTAATATTACATGCATTCCGACATTCATTCATATACTCGTCTAATTCCGATTCTTCGCACCCGAGTTCACACATTTCACTCCCGGACACCAAAGTTGCTATCATTTCAATCAAAACAATTTTAATTCTTTAAATTCTTGTCTCAATTTTAAAATATTCTTACATTGAATTAATAACAATAAAAACAACATTATATAATAAAGTATATATTTCCACATTGTTGCTATAAATTTCTCATAAATTTATACTTCATTTAATTTATAACATTGATATTTAATTAAAAAATTAATTAACTTTTAAAAAGTTTGTAATAAAACACCTCTGTATCGGAAATCAGCCATCGCTTGAATATAAAACGTATTTTTCTATCATTAGATTAAGAAAGAATAATCTTTATCTTATCTTATTCTTAATCTTAATAAATGCAATTTTAATATATTCTATGGCATTCAATATTCTATATCAAAATGCAAAAAAAATTATATCTCTATTTTTAATCTAAACTAATATTCTTTGTATAACAATATAATTATAACAATTATTTCGTATTTTTGATAATATTTATTCAAATAATAGAATCACTTTATTATTAACACAGACCTTAAAATATTTTTCAGATTTATAACAATTAACTGATGTACAGTATACTACGATATTACTGATTTCCATAATAATCGTGGTGAATAAGAATATTAATTTATAATAGATAAGCTTCTTATATGAACGTAAAGCTTACATAATATGCTTACATAATATTATTTGCTATATTTGAAAGTAATTCAAAATCTCAATTTTAAGTTTAATAATGTTGAACCGTTTGGGTCATCCACTCGACTTCAACGAGTACTTTCATATTAATATTTTAATCATATTAATCATTATATTTGATTCATATTTCAAATAAAAGTCCTATAATATGAGTCAAAATAATCAATTCAATGAATAAAAACCCATATAATTCCAGATTCACAGTTATAATTAAGAATATGTCAATCATTTATTATAAAATTATTCACAATCAAGTGTCTGGTCTTGAATTATACTAAAGTTTGTATTGTCATCTGATTATAATTACACTTTAAATACTTTTTTAGTCATTTAATTATCAAATCCCATGCGTTTTCATTATTATAAAGAGAAAAGATAAGTGAATATAGTTTTAAAAATGCGGATATCTTTGGAATAGACTGCAAAATGATGTAAAATATAGGCAAATATGTGACCGTTTAATAAACTACTTAAAAATGAACGAAACAAATGACTGTAAGCTTGTATTTAATGTCAAATCGTCTATAAAATGAGTGTTGAAATAAAGTTTAGAATTGAATCAATGATAGGATTGACTACAAATAGAGATGATTTGAATTCATTTATTGTACATTCAGTCAAAAAGAGCGTTTGAAAGCACTTTCAAAACCGAAAGCATTTCATTGCTTGTCTACCTCTCGAGACCAGGTCTTCAGTTTTTCATACATTATCCGCAAACGGAGACAACGATAATGCCGTACAATTCGTGGCCAATGACCGGATTCTCTGATGTGATCCCTTCGCCGATCAAAAACGATTCAATCAATACTCTTAACATTGAAGAGAAACTTAAAGTGGACCGAAAAAAGTTTGAAGCTCTTCTCGATGGCAACGGTTTGTACTATTCTTATAGTTATGTTATATTTATACTAAATTTGAGGTCTATTTAACAGATCCTAACGTCGGAACTGCGGACAAATTCTTTGGCGACATTATGGCAGAGTTCAAGCCGGTTGTGATAACGTGGCCGCCGAGGCTGAAGGCTGGCACCAAATCGAAGAAAGACCCACACGTGAAGATATCGGGCATTCCTCTAGTTGTGAAGGCGGCGAGGATTCGCATTCTTCACACTTTGGATCCAACGCGAGACAGAGTGACACTGAAGATGGACGTGGACTGGACGGCACACTCGCATGTGATCGGCAAAGCGGGCGCTTCTATACAGAAGGTGATGGACTTAACCGGATGTCACGTTCACTTCCCGGACGCGAACCGAACTAATTCTAACGAAAAGTCAAACCAAGTTTCGATCGCTGGAACAGCTCTGGGCGTCAGTAGAGCCCGCATTGCGATCAGAGACCTGTTGCCGGTAATCATTTCATTCAATCTGATACTCGGTATTGGCAGTCGTGCGGCACTCATGGATAAACTGAATCGCGTCATACAATTTGTTGAACGAGTGACCGATATTCAGATTTCCCTTCGTTTCAACGATTCCACAAATTCAACATTGGATTCAACATTCGTTACAATTATTATTAGAGGATTATATGGGAAATGCAATTATCTAATAGAGGGAATCAAATTATTTCTGGAATATATGAACGATTATATGATGAAAGAGGACATGATTTATCAGATGAATACCGATATATCGGTCCAACACCACAACTTTGTTATGGGTTTTGAAAAGACTAATATAAAAGACATTACGAAACAGACCGGAGCTGTCATTACATTCCCCGAACCGACACACGAATGCGATTCCACAGAAGAACTTTCCTCTAACCCTACAATCGGAAGACGTACGCGAAAGACAACTATTAATATAAAGGCGTCGTCTGTTGAGTCACTTCTGATGGCTTTTGAGTTGATTCAACTGCATCTTCCGCTCTCTCTTACGTTTGATCTGAAAGAAGGACAAGAAATCAGATTATCTTCAATCGAGACACTGGCGAAGAAATGGGAGGTAAATGTTTCAGTAAAACCCAAACCCAAGCAAAACACTAAAACAATTTGGATAAAAGCGGCCGAAAAGGATGAGTGGAAGCTCTTTGATGTTCGCCGTCATATCGTCGAACACCAAGAGATCAATACAAACGCGTTGAACACAGCGATGTCCAGCATTTGGTTGCCTAATGAAAGTGATGTCTCAAACCTAAGCCTAAGCACTACCAATGAAAGTGATATTAGTTTCGGGTCATCGACAGGAAAGAGCAGTCCATTCAATAGAGCGCCCGGAGCTGAAAGATTCAGAAATTTATAAATAATGCTCTTTGTTTTAACCTTAATTAGATTTTATTTAAAGTTAGATTACAGCGACTAATCCTCAAACTATTGCCACTAAAACTGAGGCTAAAGTTATTAATCAATTCATATTTTAGGAAAAACTTATTTTGTTATCAATTTGTGTAATTATTACTACTAATTATGTTTTAATTTATTTTTTAAAATCAATTTTAATTAAAATTTTGAAATTTTAGAAAATGTTAAATTTACTAATTATTTGCATATTTCATGCGTTGAGTGTTTCTCAAAGAAAAAAATTGTAAACTAATTATTGTTTGCATTCAATTGTTTTAAGACTTTTGTTAAAAATTAACAAAAATATATTCAAAATAAATACTATTTTGGAGTTTTATAACAATTGTATTTTTATCAACAAATATACCGGAATTCACTATTAATTGATAGCATTAGACTCCAATGATTAGAGAAATGACCGCAACTGTAATGCTTTACCTTGGTAAAAGTGATCATTTCCAAAACTTGGTACAACTTGGTAAATTGACTGTTGAAACAATTTCTACATTTTTAAAAATATGATCCAAATATATTGTATTTATTTTGTAATATGCAGTTATTTACTAGCAAGGTGGTTATTTAAATTTTAATTTGTTTACGAATTGTATTAATTACAACCACTTTTGTTATAAAGTTTGACTATTGTATGAATTTAAAATGATTGATGTGTACGATATAAATATGACTAAATATAAATAGTAATAATTAATTGTACCATAGTTTGTGTTAATCAACCTACAGGTAGTGAATGTTAACTAATTGGCAATTAGTCAAGATTGTGCACAATTAATGTGACAACAGATTCAACAAATCTCTTCACTTCTCAAAAGAGAGTAAAAAATATATAGAAATAAGATTTCAATAGGAATTGAATGGCAATTAGAAATACAGTACAGTTGTGTGGAGTATAGGTTAGGCTCACACCTCTACTCGACAGTGAGATCACGTGACACTCACTTCCTTTTCCCGTTGTGTCTCTCATCTAACGTGACTTACATTGGATTTGGTCTTCGCGTAAACAATGGTTTGTTTCATTCAATTACTAATTCATTATTTAATTAACAAATTATTGTGCATTTGTTTAATGACTGGTCGTATGTTTGCAGACAAAAGGGACGTCCAGTTTCGGTAAGCGTCGGAACAAGACTCACACTCTTTGCCGACGATGTGGAAGGAGTTCTTACCACATCCAGAAGAAGACGTGCGCCTCTTGTGGTTTCCCATGCGCTCGGATCAGAAAATGTATGCATCAACTCATCCCTTATCACTATTGATAGACTGATTGACTCATTGATTGATTGGTGTATTTGTTTAGACAACTGGTCAGTGAAGGCGATCCGCCGGAAAACGACAGGAACCGGACGAATGCGTCACCTCAAGAAGGTGTTCCGGAAGTTCAAAAATGGCTTCGAAAATAGTGGCGTCAAACGGCGGGCCATAACACCCGCTTCGGGCTCAGCGAACACCGCTTCCACATCGAAGTGAACGATGTATTTGACAAAAGCGAATAATAAAAATTGATTTTTTGTTAATTTATTTGAATTGAAAATTGATTTTAATTTATAAGTAATACTTTTGAAAGAACTGATTGACAATTGAGTGAATAATTGATCCAAATATCGATCGCTATATTTAAAATAAGATTTGATTTCAACATTATTTATATATATATATATTTATAAAGAAATCTATTTAATAACAAAAGTGGGTAATAATGGATGAAATCAAGAGCGAGAAGACAACTGCTATTGAGGTAAAGATCATAAAATTGAAGCTTAAAAAGGAAAGCAATTAAATGAAAAGTTGCCGCCAAAGAGCACCGGGAAGTGGTTGTAGTGTTGACTAACGCGCCAATTGTGTGATCAAAGAGGCGCACATCTCGAAGAACTCCATTATGTGATGGCATTGGGACTGATTGTACGGATCGCTGCAATTGCTTCCACTGCCAGCGCTGGCGCACAGCTCGTTGGGCTCGTCCTCATTGCACGGCAATGACTTGAAGTCAAGCAAATAGCTCTTGTAGTCCACTTGATATAACTGGAGAGTCATCTTCACGTGCTTTCCTGTTATCGGATTCTTCCTCCGAGTTCTCACATGGAATGCATTCACGATTTTCCACTCCTTTTGCAACAAAACGACACATTAATGGCAAAAATGATTGAAATAAATACTAACGAAATCGAGTGCTTTCATCGCTCTGTAGACCTCATTCATGATATCGTGGGGTTTGCTTTGCGAACGAATCCCTATTAATACACAATCTATTAGTAAACCCAAAGTGAGACCGACTTGAATGCCAACCCAAATGCCATTTCGCTCTCTTCATAGGCGTTCCCTTAGTTTTGTCTAAACTGTTGCCTCCGCTAAGCATTCGTTGTCGTTCTGCGGGAGTATTGCCTCCGCTTAACATCCGTTGTCTTTGGCTATGGTTTCCAGTGGCCGACTGAGGTCTGGCCGGTGTGTCCACAAAGTTAGACGGCGGAGGGCTTGAGGCGACGTAAAAGTCCTTTATGTCCAGTTTTGCCGTCTCGTCTTCAATGCGTTTGTTATCAACGATGAGATGGTATGCAATACCCAACTGGTCGTGAGGGTCACCGCTGAGGAGAGCGCTGTGCACTTCCTTATCAGTCACACCGAATTTCTAAACACAACAATCGCTAAGTATTTCATGTTTCAAATGCTAAGCCCAATGACTAATACCTCACAGACTTCACTGACGGCATCCATATCTATAATGGAAGCGTCGTTATCGTTGGCAGAGGGGAAGAGATACGCCGGCAGATCCTTCTTAAACCATTCGTGATTTCTATACATGTTTTAATGGCATTTAATTAAGAATCGATAACATTGTTAACGGATAAACACAGACTTAATATCATCCATAGTGGCCCTCTTCATGGGATCCACTTGTAAAGTGTGAACTAATAGACTGACAACTGTTTTATTCAAATATTCTGGAATTGGAAATATTCCGGCTGTAAATAAACAAACAATATTTGTTTAATAATAACTCCAATTCGAGTAAAATGTCAAACATTTAATTTTCCTGAAGAGTGTGGGCACGTGTTCGTCATCGAAGGGTAACTGCAATTAAATGAAAATACATTTTAATTTAAATAACATCAAAAATGAACTATAAATTACAGTTCCGCATAGAAGTGCATAGAGAATGACACCACACGACCAGATGTCCACTTCTGGTCCCGCATAGAGTCTAATCATATGGATTTACAATTAGTTCAATCCAATCAAATAATGACTTATTCAAAATAACTTACTTTCCCGAAATAACCTATAATTTAATACAAATATAAATACATTAATTACAACAAATTCTGGAGAGAGAAAGAAGAGAGAGAGAGAGAGAGAGAGAGAGAGAGCGAGCGAGAGGTGTAGACCTCAGGGGCGGCATAATTAGGAGATCCACAACTGGTGCGAAGGAACTCTCCGTCCATCATCATATTGGAAAGACCAAAGTCAGCGATTTTGACGCATAGATTCTGATCTAACAACAGATTCTCCGGTTTGAGATCTCTGTGCACCACCTGTTGGGCAACACATTTAAAGCAAACATTAATTGTACGAATAGTGTGTGCAGTCATTAAATGCAAACCATATGTCTGTGACAGTAATCGACTCCCGAAATGATCTGTTGGAAGAAACGGCGCGCCTCTGACTCCTTGAGCTAAACAACCAATGCGTTAGAATATAAGTGAAGTAATGGACGCAACGATTCATACCTTTCCGTGTTTGACAATATAGTCAAAGAGCTCTCCGCCGGACACGTACTCCATAATCATGAATATATCGGTCGGAGTACTGATCACTTGATACCTAAATGGGCCGTACATTACATGTGTTAATGTTAGCATCAATGATAAGGCAATGACAAGAGTATACAGTTTAATGATATGCGGATGTCTGAAGAGCTTTAGGTTTTGGATCTCTCGGCGAATCTTTCCGACGACATCCAAGTTCTTGATCTTTTGACGGTTCNATTGAAATCTTATTTCTATATATTTTTTACTCTCTTTTGAGAAGTGAAGAGATTTGTTGAATCTGTTGTCACATTAATTGTGCACAATCTTGACTAATTGCCAATTAGTTAACATTCACTACCTGTAGGTTGATTAACACAAACTATGGTACAATTAATTATTACTATTTATATTTAGTCATATTTATATCGTACACATCAATCATTTTAAATTCATACAATAGTCAAACTTTATAACAAAAGTGGTTGTAATTAATACAATTCGTAAACAAATTAAAATTTAAATAACCACCTTGCTAGTAAATAACTGCATATTACAAAATAAATACAATATATTTGGATCATATTTTTAAAAATGTAGAAATTGTTTCAACAGTCAATTTACCAAGTTGTACCAAGTTTTGGAAATGATCACTTTTACCAAGGTAAAGCATTACAGTTGCGGTCATTTCTCTAATCATTGGAGTCTAATGCTATCAATTAATAGTGAATTCCGGTATATTTGTTGATAAAAATACAATTGTTATAAAACTCCAAAATAGTATTTATTTTGAATATATTTTTGTTAATTTTTAACAAAAGTCTTAAAACAATTGAATGCAAACAATAATTAGTTTACAATTTTTTTCTTTGAGAAACACTCAACGCATGAAATATGCAAATAATTAGTAAATTTAACATTTTCTAAAATTTCAAAATTTTAATTAAAATTGATTTTAAAAAATAAATTAAAACATAATTAGTAGTAATAATTACACAAATTGATAACAAAATAAGTTTTTCCTAAAATATGAATTGATTAATAACTTTAGCCTCAGTTTTAGTGGCAATAGTTTGAGGATTAGTCGCTGTAATCTAACTTTAAATAAAATCTAATTAAGGTTAAAACAAAGAGCATTATTTATAAATTTCGGAATCGTTCAGCTCCGGGCGCTCTATTGAATGGACTGCACTTTCCTGTCGATGACCCGAAACTAATATCACTTTCATTGGTAGTGTTTAGGCTTAGGTTTGAAACATCGCTTTCATTAGGCAACCAAATGCTGGACATAGCGGTGTTCAACGCGTTTGTATTGATCTCTTGGTCTTCGACGATATGACGGCGAACATCAAAGAGTTTCCACTCATCCTTTTCGGCCGCTTTTATCCAAATTGTTTTCGTGTTTTGCTTGGGTTTGGGTTTTACTGAAACATTTACCTCCCATTTCTTCGCCAGTGTCTCAATTGAAGATAATCTGATTTCTTGTCCTTCTTTCAGATCAAACGTAAGAGAGAGCGGAAGATGCAGTTGAATCAACTCGAATGCCATCAGAAGTGACTCAACAGACGACGCCTTTATATTAATGGTTGTCTTTCGCGTACGTCTTCCGATTGTAGGGTTAGAGGAAAGTTCTTCTGTGGAATCACATTCGTGTGTCGGTTCGGGGAATGTAATGACAGCTCCGGTCTGTTTCATAATGTCTTTTATATTAGTCTTTTCAAAACCCATAACAAAGTTGTGGTGTTGGACCGATATATCAGTATTCATCTGATAAATGATGTCCTCTTTGATCATATAATCGTTCATATATTCCAGAAATAAGTTGATTCCCTCTATTAGGTAATTGCATCTCCCATACAATCCTCTAATAATAATTGTAACGAATGTTGAATCCAATGCTGAATTCGTGGAATCGTTGAAACGAAGGGAAATCTGAGTTTCGGTCACTCGTTCAACAAATTGTATGACGCGATTCAGTTTATCCATGAGTGCCGCACGACTGCCAATACCGAGTATCAGATTGAATGAAATGATTACCGGCAACAGGTCTCTGATCGCAATGCGGGCTCTACTCACGCCCAGAGCTGTTCCGGCAATCGAAACTTGGTTTGACTTTTCGTTAGAATTAGTTCGGTTCGCGTCCGGGAAGTGAACGTGACATCCGGTTAAGTCCATCACTTTCTGTATAGAAGCGCCCGCTTTGCCGATCACATGCGAGTGTGCCGTCCAGTCCACGTCCATCTTTAGTGTCACTCTGTCTCGCGTTGGATCCAAAGTGTGAAGAATGCGAATTCTCGCCGCCTTTACAACCAGAGGAATGCCCGATATCTTCACGTGTGGATCTTTCTTCGATTTGGTGCCCGCCTTCAGCCTCGGCGGCCACGTTATCACAACCGGCTTAAACTCTGCCATAATGTCGCCAAAGAATTTGTCCGCAGTTCCGACGCTGGGATCTGTTAAATAGACCTCAAATTTAGTATAAATATAACATAACTATAAGAATAGTACAAACCGTTGCCATCGAGAAGAGCCTCAAACTTTTTTCGGTCCACTTTAAGCTTCTCTTCAATGTTAAGAGTATTGATTGAGTCGTTTTTGATCGGCGAAGGGATCACATCAGAGAATCCGGTCATTGGCCACGAATTGTACGGCATTATCGTTGTCTCCGTTTGCGGATAATGTACGAAAAACTGAAGACCTGGTCTCGAGAGGTAGACAAGCAATGAAATGCTTTTGGTTTTGAAAGTGCTTTCAACGCTCTTTTTGACTGAATGTACAATAAATGAATTCAAATCATCTCTATTTGTAGTCAATCCTATCATTGATTCAATTCTAAACTTTATTTCAACACTCATTTAATACACGATTTGACATTAAATACAAGCTTACAGTCATTTGTTTCGTTCATTTTCAAGCAGTTTATTAAACGGTCACATATTTGCCTATATTTTACATCATTTTGCAGTTTATTCCAAAGATATCCGCATTTTTAAAACTATATTCACTTATCTTTTCTCTTTATAATAATGAAAACGCATTGGATTTGATAATTAAATGACTAAAAAAGGTATTTAAAGGGTAATTATAATCAGATAGCAATACAAACTTTAGTATAATTCAAGACCAGACACTTGATTGTGACTACTTTTATAATAAATGATTGACATATTTTTAATTATAAGTGTGAATCTGGAATTATATGGGTTTTTTTATTGAATCTATTATTTTGACTCATATTGTAAGACTTTTATTTGAAATATGCATCAAATATAATGATTAATATGATTAAAATATTAATAGGAAAGTACTCGTTGAGGTCGAGTGGATGACCCAAACGGTTCACTAGTATTAGTATAGATCTGCAATGTTTAAATATTAATATTATGCGCCAATGTTAAAGTCAATCAAACAGTGTGAAATGATTCACTGACCAATCAACATTAAGGAAGAAAGTATTTTAGAAAGTATTTTTTCAACATTGCAGATAGAAAAGTATTAGTAATACTGTATTACAACAAAAATAGAGATTTTGAATTACTTTCACATATAGTTAACATTCTTAACATAGTTAACAGCTTTACGTTCAAATAAGAAGAAGCATATCTATTATAAATTAATATTCTTATTTACCACGATTATTATGGAAATCAGTATACCGTTAATATCGTAGTGTACTGTATATCAGTTAATTGTTATAATTGATGATTCTATGATTTTATGAATGATTCTATTATTTGAATAAATATTATGGAAAATACAGAATAATTGTTATAGAATTGAAAAACTAATATTTAAAATACAAAGAATATTAGTTTAGATTAAAAATACAGATATAGAATATTTGTTTGCATTTTGTTATAGAATATTGAATGCAGTAGAATATTAAATTGCATTGATTAAAATTAAGAATAAGATAAGATTAAGTTATTCTTTCTTAATGTAATGATAGAAAAATACGTTTTATATTCAAGCGATGGCTAATTTCCGATACAGAGGTGTTTTGTCCATTAGACAGCTATTTTTGCCGGTCTGCAGTCGACACACTGAGACCGTATTAACACACAACTGACCCGTCGACTACTCTATGCCATTGGTTTCCATGCATTTTCAATGTTCTCCTTTGAGGACGCGAACCTACAGTGATGTGACTAAAAGTTCAAACACTATTTTTTTTATGGCAGTGACTAAAAGTCCATTCCGCCAAACCTCAGACCATTTATCACTTCAGCTTATTTTATTACCAAGCTGATTATTATATTGACCATAATTTAATTACATCTGGTTTGCATGAATTATTATTAAGTTTACTACTTTATACGCTAAACGTAATTGTTTTATTACAAACTTTTTAAAAGTTAATTAATTTTTTAATTAAATATCAATGTTATAAATTAAATGAAGTATAAATTTATAAGAAATTTATAGCAACAATGTGGAAATATATACTTTATAATATAATGTTGTTTTTATTGTTATTAATTCAATGTAAGAATATTTTAAAATTGAGACAAGAATTTAAAAAATTAAAATTATTTTGATTGAAATGATAGCAACTTTGGTGTCCGGGAGTGAAATGTGTGAACTCGGGTGCGAAGAATCGGAATTAGATGAGTATATGAATGAATGTCGAAATGCATGTAATATTAAACGGAAGGGCAAAGCGCGCGACAAAATGCAAGAATATTTGCGGTGTATGTCTCGTAAATGTATGGACGGAGGACTCGGACCTACACTTATATTTATGGACGACGAATGGCATAACTGTTCGGCTCAATGCAATCGCACAGAGATGCTGAGCGCACACGAGGCCACAGAAAAGCCTCTTTTTCACACACAATACCTTTCGGACCAACAATTCGTGGTTTTCAAAGACGAAAAGAAAGCCAATAAAGAGAAAAACAAACCCAAAACCGCAGCCAAACCCAAACTCAAAAAGATCAAAAGGATTATCCATAAAGTTGTCAAAACAACAAAATCGACAAAACATGTATAAAAATGTATGCTTTTTATTGCAAATATTTACATAATTTTAATCAATAATTTCAATGTTTTAATTGTAAGGAATGTGTAATTAAAATAAAGTTAAGCATTCTAAGATTCAAAAACAAAAAGATTACACAAAAACAAAAAGATTACACAAAAACAATGTTTTAAACATAAATACTAAACAATTTTTATAAATATTGGAGTTAAATGGGTTTCAATGAAAAATAGAGCTTATTTTTGATGGTCTGCTTCTCTGGATTCAAACGTTTCAATATCTGTGCGATAGTGTGAACCAAATCACCCTTTTGTGAGACCTTATTCTTGAACTT